CTTCTACAGCTTCATTTCTAACTGGGCGGTTTGCCTCCCTTTTTTTGTTGTTAATGGGACCCGTAGTTTGAAACTTAATTACAATTTGTTGAATGTATTGGTAACTTACGTTTTTTTCGGAATGATTATTATTGAAAATTCGTGCCGTGGCGTTTGCACAATCATTATTTCGATAATAGGTCGCAATAATTTCCATTCTTTTTTCAATTGAGTATACCACATTGAAAAATTTTGGATAAATTGAATATATTTTAAAATAAAATCACTCAAATATTTGATTCAGGAGTTGTGACACGCTAAGGTACTGATGTTTTGAATATTTATTATGTTTTTCTACAAACGTGCTTTTGAAAAAATACATTAAAATTGGGTAGACAAGTTAAAAAAATATATATATAATTGTTTTTTGTGTGATTATTCGGCCAACCTAATATCACTCCAACATCTAAAATTTAATAAATAATACTACACCCATAAATATAATTATGTAATAATTATTACCCACACATACATATACATATAGTAAAGTTAAAGTAAATCAGTAAGTGTTTTAGTAGTACTGATCTGATCTGATGATTTCAGAATGGTGAATTATTTAATTTTGTGTATGTTATTTTTGTATTCATTTATGTAGGCATGTGTTAATTATGTTTTATTTAGAAAATTGTTTCATAAAGCAACATTTCTTAAAACAACAACAGTTGATTGTAAACTTAACATAAACATTAAGTTATGTGGACCTGGATTAACATAAAATCTGGTTAAAATTATATATTTATATAATATATACTGCAATGATTTTTTTCAAACACGTTGATTTTGTTTGCGAGACATTTTTTGGCTATATTGGCCTGTTTAACCAAAATTTTTATTTGTACACGGAAAAAACTTAATGGCACTATTTAGTAGGATTTCTACTAATTTTTATTGTTACTTATTACGAAGTAAAAAGTTAAAATATATATTAGCGGTTCACTAAAACATATTATATTTAAAAATAAATAAAACAGTATTAAAATATAGTTTTTAACCTTTTAAATGATAAAATTCTTGATCTTGGAAAGTATAATTTAAAGTAAGAGTAACCAAAATGTGACAATGACTTAATTAAATATTAACTCTCAACCTTTAAATTTTAATATTTCAAACACTAAATATTTCCAAGTTCGATATATATAATTTCACATAAGGGGCAAAACACCTCAAGTGTTCCCACCTAAAAATGATGTTTTCTCCGATTTTAACAAAACTTTGCCAAATCATTGTTTTATTGGACTACCTTAATTTTCCAAATGGGGAATTAAAAAAGCTTTCTTTTGATATTAATATATTTTTAAAATCGTTTTTTATAACCAAAAAATTTTTTCTGGCTTTCGAGACCATTTTTATCGTAAAGCGTGGAAAAAATGCTATACGATATGTTGATTATCAATTTAAAAAAAAATTATTATATACATGAATATTTCGACGTCTTTTAAGCGCACGAGAAAAAATATAAATTTTTAGGCCCCTGTATCTCTGCAACCCGCTAATCCTTTTTGCCCATTTGGAAAATTAAGGTAGTCAAATAGGACAATGATTTGGCAAAGTTTTGTTAAAATCGGAGAAAACATCATTTTTAGGTGGGAACACTTGAGGTGTTTTGCCCCATAAGCGAACATATTTTTTTTTAATTTTAACCATAATAAATATTCAAATCTGAATTTTAATTGTTATTGTTTCAAACAATAAAAATATACAACTCTACCGGTTAAATATTTACTTATAGAAACAAAACTTTGCCAAATCATTGTTCTATTGGACTACCTTAATTTTCCAAATGGGGAATTAAAAAAGCTTTCTTTTGATATTAATTTAAAAAATATCAAATGTGCACCGAAAAAAATATATTCGTTGAGTTAACATTTGCCTAAATGTCATTTTTGAAAATGTTGTTTCAACAAAAAACCTATTGGATTAATCTATATTTTGGTGTCAAAGCAATAGTCAGAGTTTGTCAAAGTTTATTTGTTCATTTGACAATTTAAAATATTGATCTTACATGAACTAATTGTTTGAATTAAAGTTTTTATCCTATTTTGATTTAATAGCTGGAATTGGTTAAATCAAATACTAAAATTGTTGGGATTACTATTAGATTAACGTTTAGTTGCTCTTTAATCCACAACATTAAATTTGTTCATTTAACAAATTGTAAATGTTACTTTAAAATTTAAAATGTAAAATTTGCATTCATAAAATTGCCGAGAATGGCGCTTCGAACACCCGCGCCACGTGATTAGACGATGACGTGTTCTTACATCTCGCCTTAGTTGGCTTACGATTAGGGGTATATAAGATCAGGTAGCTGTTTGTTTTAGGTGTGTTCCACAGTGGAACTTTCACTACACCATATTGCCCGACACTGATAAGACCCTCAATACAGGGCGAAACAGCTGTCTGTCGGTATTTAAAGTAGGTGGAACACGCTCAAAACAAAAACTCTGGGCGAGGTGAAGGTTCAATTCTTTCTCTTTATAATAATATATTATTTCCATAGTTTTGTTTTGGATACCAACCTTTAAAGAGTTTTAAATTTTCAGAATGTTAATTTAACATTTTATTGGTGTTAAGTGAATATGCTAAAAAGGTTACCTGGACATTTCAAGAAATTCACCTTAACACCCTAAGAATGTTAAATTAACCAAATTAGCAGATTAGAACAAAATTCTCATTTTGTTCATTTGACTGTTATTTGTTGTTCAATTAAACAATACAATTTGACATTTTTAGATGGTTAAGTAAACGTGCAAAAACCATTGCTTGTATTTAAAGTGCATAAAGAGTTGAATTAATATTTTTGTTGTTGTTTCAACAGCTTATTTTTTTCAGTGTGTCGCATTTCGAGAAAAAAACAAATATATTTTTAAAATCGTTTTTTATAACCAAAAATCTGGCTTTCAAGACCATTTTTATCGTAAAGCGTGGAAAAAATGCTATACGATATGTTGATTATCAATTTAAAAAAAATTATTATACATGAATATTTCGACGTCTTTTAAGCGCACGAGAAAAAATATAAATTTTTAGGCCCCTGTATCTCTGCAACCCGCTAATCCTTTTTGCCCCCCATTTGGAAAATTAAGGTAGTCCAATAGGACAATGATTTGGCAAAGTTTTGTTAAAATCGGAGAAAACATCATTTTTAGGTGGGAACACTTGAGGTGTTTTGCCCCATAAGCGAACATATTTTTTTTTAATTTTAACCATAATAAATATTCAAATCTGAATTTTAAATGTTATTGTTTCAAACCATAAAAATATACAACTCTACCGGTTAAATATTTAATTATAGAAATATAGTAATTAACGTTCAGTTCTGCATTTTTTAAATACTAAAAAATAATTTTGTGTATTTTATTTATTATAGAATATACTATTATAAATTTTAATAATTTAATTAATAAACTTTGTTAAGTATGATCAATATATATTGCACTTTTTATAAATAGTAATTTTTATTTAAGAATTTTACCAATAGTTAATAACATAATAATTTCCATTAATAATTGTTTATAAATAATTACCAATAAATATAATTCATTAAAATACAATAATTAATAAATAATTCATTACAATAAATGAGGAGCATACTTTCATAAGGAATCTTGTCTTGGACACGTCAATTTTTATTTCTAGGGGGACGAATTTTGATGTACATTTCTTCATTGAGGTTGCCATCAATGAAAAATGTTCCAACATGGTTCCCAAAAATTCCGGTCCAAACATTAAATTTTATCTTTTGGAGAACTTCGGCGTGGGTTTCATGGAACAAATGTGGATTGGTACCGCCCCAATAGCTCCAATTATAATTATGTCTATTTACTTTTCCATTTAACATAACAGAGCACTCGTCGTATCAGGATCATCAATTTCTTGAACCAGCCGAATTTTAAAGGATGAAACTTGTTATTTTTCAAGATGCGAAGCACACTGGTGACGGATACGCCAAAGGCTTGTGATAGTTTCCTGATAGACTGTGTATTATCCATTTGCACATGACCCAACACAGCAACTTCTACAGCTTCATTTCTAACTGGGCGGTTTGCCTCCCTTTTTTTGTTGTTAATGGGACCCGTAGTTTGAAACTTAATTACAATTTGTTGAATGTATTGGTAACTTACGTTTTTTTCGGGATGATTATTATTGAAAATATCACTTAAATTTCACTTAACCCTCCTTGCGGTGCGGGTGGGGGCGCGAAACCTACATCAAACAAAACAGCCAAAAAATTAACAAAAATTGACGTTTCCAGAAAAATTTGTCCACATTCACCCGTTAAAACGTTTGGGATGGTACATGTTTTCGTTGGAACACCCTGTATAACTATTACATGCAAGCAATAATCCACGCGCGCATTGAACTGCTACTCCTCCAATATTATTAAAGTGCCCTTTGAAAAAAATTACAAATTTTCGAGCTCTATATGTATCGCGATGCTGGAAGACAACTCAACTGTCGGCATTCCCTCATGCTCTTTATAGAGGACTAAACGCCCGAGCAAGCTGCGTGTAGATTTGCTAAATGTTTTTTAAATTGTAATAACTAAGTTTATTAAATTTTTGTCATTAAACTTACAGTAAACGAAGTATTCGCATTTTTACAAATGGCAGCTTTATCGAAAAAAATGATTATCTTAATTTGTTAAATGTAATATTTAATTTAAATATAAACATAACAACTACCTATATTGTATTATTCTTAAATAAAAAGGGGTTATGAACAAGCCTAAAAAAGCAAGATGAAAGAATACGGTTATGAAAGAAGGATGTAATTAAAATGATATAAAGCTACCAAAGTGGTAGTTTTATAGAATAAATTTTAAATATAAAATTATTTGAAAAAAGTTACATACCTGTTCTATAGCACGGCAATTTTGCGACCAAAATACAATTTGTTTGCGACTGATGCAACTTAATAAAAATTTACGGACGGCCTTGCTTCGATATTGTTTTGTCTAGGTCTAGACTCTAGGACCAAACATGAAAGACAACGGCTTACTTAGCACGATATGGGGATGAAGAGATAGATATTTACGTTTCAAATGTGAAAAAGTATAATGTCAAACAATAAAAATTATTGAGTTCAAATTATACTTCTTGAAAGTTGAAAAATATACTAACTATCAAGTTTAGTATTGAATATAAAATTTACTATTTCGCATAGTACATTTTATGGACCTCACTGGTGAATTTTATTATTTTTTTTAATAATATGTATAATTAAGAATTTATTATTTCATTCATTTCATTTCAAAATATAACAACTACATTTGTCAATTTTATTAGATAATAGACATTAAATTTTTTTATTTTAAATTATAAATTTTGTGTTTTGCTTTAACATTTTTTATCTTTTCGACTACGAATTTTTACCTACAAAAGTAGTTTTACTTATCAATTATTACAATCCTACTTTTTTAACGAGTAAATCGTAATTTTTAAAATATGTAATACTACTTTTTTACGAATAAACTATAAATTTGATCATTCAATGAATAATTATTATAAAGTAAATGTCAGAACAAAGATATTATTATTTGAAATAGTAGTAATTAGTGATATTATTATTACTTATTACACATCAATATTTAATTAGTATAATTTACTTTTTTCCGTGTACCTATAATCTATATATTTTATATATCTGTTTTTTGTGTAATTATTCGGCCAACCTAATATCACTCCAACATCTAAAATTTAATAAATAATACTACACACATAAATATAATTATGTAATAATTATATATAATAATACTACATACATAAATATAATTATGTAATAATTATTACCTACACATACATTTGGTGGTTAATTCTAACAAATTCCACTAATTTAGCAGCTACAAACCAAATATTAACTAGCACAAGAAACAATCTTCCAAAATGTCGGGCACTTTCGTCAGTGGGGGATATTTTTAATAATAGGCCAGTCGTACCAATATTTACTAATCTTAGAATAAATTTAATTCTATTATTTATATTTAAGACCAGAATAGAGGGAATTTTCCAAAATTTTGACAAATCGATTGTTAATCTTAAATTAAGAATGAGAATATTTCATTTCTTAACATTTAACAGGAAAGAATAAGATCTGTTTGTTTAAAGAAAGATTAATATTTAGTGTAAAGTTAGTTTTAGCCTATAGGCTATATATAACCTATCCTTAAATCAATTGGCTATCCTTAAATCAATTGGCTTTTTTTAAGAATAAAGGTATTATTAAATTTAGAAAACATTTTCTTATGTGTAGATGCCGAACAGAGTGATATTGTGGGATCTACCCCAAACTGACCAAGAACATCAATATGAGCGGCTTCATTGAGTATCCTAGGTTGGTTTCTTTTTCGATTGCAAACAAATCCTGTTTGTTCAAATTTAATGACCAACTCTTGAACATATTTATGACGCACATTTTTTCCAGGGCTTAGCTCATTAAATGCCACTGCTGTTCGTGGAGCACAACAATTTTGTGCACCATAAATAAAAATAATTTCAACGACATTGCCATTTTTCAAAAAATTCCCACTACTTAAGGGTTTCTAAAAATTTTCAGGAAACTTTCAGTGAATCATCTTGCACTATTAGCGGTGTTGCCAAGTTCAACGTAAACAACGTAATTTTTCTACTAGAAAAAGTTAGTCTAATCAAAGAATTTGCAGCCAAGTGTTTCATTTGTAACATTTTGTAGATATCTATTTTTAACTCTACCCTAACATATTTCATATTATATTTGACGCCTATAGGAATTCTAATTAGCAAATATTTGTCGTACGTCGTAAAATATCAAAAAAAGAAACCGAAAATAAAAGATAAAAAACTTGTCCAAACCGCTGAAGCAAACTCACCGTGCCATAAAAAATATTCAGAACGAATTAATCCAATATTATTTACAATATTTTGTGATCGGTTCAACATTAGCTAAAAATTGATAATCTTTAAATCGTCATTTCGGTAACGCTTTAGAATTTCTATTTAAGGTTTACTATTATAGTATACAAAATCATATGAAGCTTTTCGCAAATTTATTTGAAATCTTGCTTTGAGACCACTGTGTATTGAAATGGGATATCTTGAGGCTCTAAGCTGAACCGAATGGTTGAAAGTAAGACCACACAGGTCGAAAACGCATATGATTTCATGTGTTTAACAACTTAATGGTGTGCATATACACATATTCGCAAACTTTGCTGAAAGCCAAACATCTTTGGGCGAAATTTTTACACAACCGCAAAATTACAGTCTCCTTACAAAATTATTTAGGTACAATGAGAGTTGAAGTTAATTATGCAGTTTGTGACATTAGATAGGACAATTTCTTTGTTGTGATTTTTTTCATCGACAGTTTCAGCTATTTTTCTTTCTACGCCATTACTTGAGGATGATGTTAAAGAATCATCTTGTCCGTTAATTAGAACAGCTGCTTCAAAATTTTAAGTTTCACAGAGAAAAATTTGTTGGATTTGGTTTCATAATTGTATGAATTTGTTCACCAAATCCGCTAAATTGTAGCAAATAATTGTACTAAACTTATTATATTAAAAACTTACATAATTTATTTGACATTTGAACATATCGCACACCCAGTTCAAGACCACCGTAACTCAAAAAACATTAAAATGAGATAATCCAGTTTAAAGTTTTGCAAAGGTAGGAATTTATTGAAGAAAGTAAGGACGGCAATAACGCCCTTTTGCAAGCTCTACATGGTAAATCCAATGGTTTTTAATCAGTATATTTTGTAAACGTCTATATTTTTAAGATTTTATTTCATTATTTAAAAAAATATGTAGTTATTGCACTAAAAATTGGTCTCATATTTTTTAATTATGTTGCAGTTCAATATAAATGTATGTGTAATAAAGTTCTTAAAAATATGAATTAAGCTATGAAGGTTTTTTAAATCTATTCTAAGGTTGTTAAAGTATTTAAAAACCACAATAACTCAAAACTGTTGATTTTTGAGTTATGGTGTTCTTGAACTGGATGTGCGATATTTTAATCTAATCGGTTCATATAATTTATGTAAGTAAATGAGTATTTTAGAGACTTTTTAATATAATATTTTGTGGTGAAATTGCACAAATTGTGGCACATACTAACACAACATTGTTATAATAATTTCTCCAATTTATTTAAAAATTTTAATAATTTTTGGGATGTGAGGGTGGTAAAAAGGAAAATGAAACTAAATTATTAATTTAGATACCTATGTATACAGCGACTTATAGGAAAAATATGGAAAAAAGAATACCTAAACTTAATATAAACTGACTCTGAAAACATAAAATAAATATAATAAAACATAAACTACAAACTGAAAAATAAAATTCTTATATAATTCAACATGAAGGGCGTCTCCACTTATTATAGTACAAATGTCGATAGATTAAATATGTATTCAGCGACCAACACAAAAATGTTGTAAGGATAGAATTAAGTTAATATGAACTAAAAACATAAAATGAACATAAATTACAAACTAAAGTAAATAATAAGCTGATCAATAATGTGCACAGTAGGAACATAGAAACACTTTTTATCCCCATTTGATCACCAGGTCATAATTATTGATTTATTCCAGTCCCTGGGATGCAATTTTTAAATCCCCACCCACCTATTCGGAAAAATAATATTCAATAATTACTCACCAGAAATGTGGTACTAACCTCACAATGATAAACTTCCAGCAGGAAATCATTTCATTGGTTATCTTAGGTGATGTGGTGCTTCACACCCGAACAAATTGTCCAATATTGTAAAATTTATATTGTAACTCAAAGTTATACTTTATTTATAGGAATTATTTAAGAAATTGTAAAAAAGACTAACATTTATTTTTGAAACATTTTTAACAACAGATTTTAACTCTTTTCTTGACAATATTGTTTAAATGGTTAAATATAAAATCTTACTGTTTCCAACAAATTATAGAAAATTGACGTAAACAAACTAATTAGAAAAACCAATCCAACTATCTTGGATAACCTGGCACATTTATAGAAAATTACGGTCCAATCCCAGTAAACACATACACGTTTTTTAAACGTATTTAATACGTTTGAAAGGTCAATAAAACGTTTTACGTGGAAAAAGCAACGGTTTGATATTGGTATAAATTTACACCAATTAATTTAAACGTTAAAACAACGTTAATTTAAATATGCTTTTTAATATTGCCTAACTTTTACGTTACAATAACGTTGTATTAAGGTGTTCGTCAACCATATATTTAAATGTTTAATTTAAATATGCTTTTTAATAGTGGCTAACTTTTACGTTACAATAACGTTGTATTGAGGTGTTCAGTCAACCATATATTTAAATGTTTAACTTAAACGTTAAAACAACGTTAATTTAAATATGCTTTTAATAGTGACTAACTTTTACGTTACAATAACGTTGTATTAAGGTGTTCAGTCAACCATATATTTAAATGTTTAATTTAAACGTTAAAACAACGTTAATTTAAATGTGCTTTTTAATAGTGGCTAACTTTTACGTTACAATAACGTATTAATGTGTTCAATCAACCATACATTTAAATGTTTAAATTACGTTTCAACCCACAATTTTTTTTCACAAATATTAAGAGTTTTAATGAGAAAATAACGTTTGAAGTAATTATTTTATGAACTGTGCAGGCAGCTCTTTCTTTTAACATTTATACTATGTTATATTCAACACGCTCCATCGAACACTTTTAAAATTACTTTTTATATATTTATTTTGTGAAATTTTTGCTTAGTTTACACATGTAGACAATATGACTTCTTATTTAAAATCTGAAGGTATAAAATCTAAGAATTTTGTTCGTTAAAAATATGAATTATGAATGAATGTTAAATGAATAATTTAACTTTCTCACTTTTTCAAAAGTATATTTTTATAACGTTAATAAAACGGGTTTTGTCAAATACAAATATACTTTTATCCACATCGTTTTTCTCTAAAATGGGATAACTTGTTTAAAAATAATTTATAACGTTTAATATTTAATAAACTG